CGACGCTGTGTCCGGTGCACCATGGGATGCTCTAGGGCAGTGCACACTGACGCTGTGTCCGGTGCACCATGGGATGCTCTAGGGCAGTGGACACTGATGCTGTGGCTGGTGTCCTGGGAACTTAGAGCTGGTTCTTGCCTTTCTTACTTATTTTCAGGTGACAGAGACCTTGTATCACCTAGCTGAGGGGCCTGGCCTGGGTCCAGGGGGGTCCCTGTACGCCCACGTCACCCAACCCTACACACTATTCCTAAGTTCCTCATCTTATTAGGCAGAGTCGCACATATTGGCTCAACATACTGTAAGATTGAGGTTTCTATAATAGGGCTCAGCCTCCAGAAGGGACATAGGAAAGGGCCTGACTAGGGCAGGAGGCTGGCCCAGTCCACCTGAGAGTATCTGAATATGCCCCAGAAATGCCCAGATGTTGGGGAGTTGTCAGGGGAGACATCCTGTGGCCCTTCCCAGGCCTGCTTGGGTACCTACACAAATTCTTTTTTTCTTTTTCTTTTTTTTTTTTGGTTTTTCGAGACAGTGTTTCTCTGTGTAGCCCTGGCTGTCCTGGAACTCACTCTGTAGACCAGGCTGGCCTCAAACTCAGAAATCCGCCTGCCTCTGCCTCCCAAGTGCTGGGATTAAAGGTGTGCGCCACCACCGCCAGGCCCTACACCAATTCTAAGCAGTGATAATTAATTAGGTTTTGCTAGAATCTTCCCTCAAAACTGATTTAGGCTTCTCTGGGTCCCAGAGAAGGCCCTCTCCCTCAGCCCCTCTGAGGGAGAATCAAGCTGGCCTAGAGTCACAGGTCTCATCTCCTCTCCCTCCCCCCACTAACTAGGCTATCTGGAATACAGGGAGCCAGGCCCAGCTCAAGGATGGGCACTGGACTGAAGAGACCCGTGGGCACTGCTATGGCTCCGGGAGGGAACCCACACAGGGCATTGGCCCTAGCCACCTGCTATGTCCAAGGGGCTGGCCACTGAGCCAGACCCCTGCAGCTGGACATCTGGGCACCTGCTCTAATCAGGCATCTATCCCAGAGCAATCCTACTGACACCTGCCTTGGGGTGGCCCTTAATGCTGGGCTCTTCCCTACTTAGCAACACTAGGAGGGTGATGGGCCAGGGCTTCCTAGCTATGTTTTAAAGGTAGGGCGGGAGGAAAGCAGGGGAAAGTCAAGGGTCAGCTATGTCTGTTGGCCAACTCTCTTCTGATGTGTGCATAAGCAGGGAGGCCCTTAAAAGCTAGAGTTAGGAAACAGAGCGAATATACTGTTTGAATCAGATAGCCTATCTCCATGTGGTCACCCCTTCCTTCAAGTGCCTGGCTCTTCCACATCCACCTGCTCACCCCTCAGCTTAAAGAGAGCAAGCCAGCTCTTCAGGAGGCTGAAGGACGCTCAACCCTGGCATGCTCGCCAGCTAGGCCCTCTTCTTGCCCCTGGGTATGGTATGAGACATCAGCACAGGGTCTGCGTCCCTGCTGCCCCCAGGACTTATGTCCTCTTGGGCCTTAATTTCCCCTTCTTCACTGGAGATGCTGGCAGCTCCCATTTTCCTCTTGTGGGTACAGAACTCTTGAAGAGGCACAGCTCCTCTGGAGGACCATAAGCTGAAGGGAAGCAGAGGAGCCTGGGTAGCCTGGTGTCTCCTGCAGGCTCCCTGGTCCCTCTAGGCAGGTCTGGCTTCACCTTCTCAGCCTAACACTAAATTCTAGAGGCCTCTCAGGAGCTTGGGATTATGCATCCATAGTGTTTGACCAGGGAAACCTGAGCCCCCTCCCGTCATCTCCAGTCACCTTAGGGCAAAGCATGGCAGGCCCAGGCTAGAGGTCTCAGTTTACTCCTGCAGCCTCCTCCAGGGGAACGGGGCAGCCCTTCCCCTGCTGGCTTCCTGGTGAGCCCAGATTGTTCCTGGCTCTGGAGCTGGCCCTCGCTAGTGTCAGCCTCCCCTTCCTCAAAGGACCGGCTCACAAGGGCAGCCTGGGAGAAGAAGCAGGAAGACACCAACACAGAAGCTGGGTAGGTAGCGGCCTCCCTCCTCTTCCTCAGCACTCATGGGGCAACAGTGACAACTGCGGGGATGGGCTCACTCCTGCAAGAACTCAGTGGGATGACATTCCCAGGACCACAGGAAAAAGCAGGCAGCGAGCCACTGCCCAGCCAGAGGTGAGCCTGGCAGAGTGATACTGCAGCCAACCCTTACCTGTGCCTTGTCTTCTGATTGCATGCTATCTCTCCTCCCCACGCTAGTGAGACTGACCTAGGCCTGTCTACCCGAAATGCCGCTCTGGCCTGGGACTTGAATACCAGGTCTTCCCTCTGTGTGTCATGAAGCGCTAGGAGAAGCTGAGGCAGGGCCTCGAACAGTGTGCCTATTCCAGACTCGACTCTGAGGACACCAAATGCTTACAGGAGGAACTTGTGGGTCACCCAAGGGCAATAGGATGCTAGGCTAGACAGCCTCAACTAGTTGTGCTGGGCCAGTCCTGTATCCAACAGTCATTGTACAAAGGCCTAGAGACAGAACCCCATCTTCAAAAACATTACCATATGATGTTAACTCAAGAAAAGGAAGGACTGTAGGATCAGAGGGCAAGGGAGTGGCTTCTGAGGAGAGACTGGAGATAAAAGTAGCAGAAGGGCTAGCCTGGGTATGCTTCAGGTAGTCCAGGTTAAAAGGAGAGGAAGTAGCTATGCTGGTGAGCTGGCATGCGGGAAGCTGGGGAGGCTCAGTCATGTCGGGTACAGAGCGGGAAGCTGCTGGGCCAGACAGTCATGTCGGGTACAGGGCTGGAAGCTGCTGGGCCAGACAGTCATGTTGGGTACAGGGCGGGAAGCTGCTGGGCCAGACAGTCATGACGGGTACAGAGCTGGAAGCTGCTGGGCCAGACACAGGCACTTGGGAGGCTATTTGGAAGCTGATGACATGGAAAATTTTTGAGATCTTGATTTATAGCTCAGGTTAGCCTGGAATTCGACTCCTCCAGCCACAACCTCCCCAGTGTGATTATAGGTGGTAAGGGTACTTTTAAAGTCCTTTTCTGAGAGGGGTAGGGGCCAGCTTTCCAATACTGTAAACTCCCATGCCTTAAGGCCCTGCTCTGGAATCTTTATTGAGATAGATGTGAAGACGCCTAAGTAAGTAGCAGCTTGGGACAGGCTCCTGGTGGCTACTGTGCAAATAAGGCATCAGAGATAGCCAGAGATAGCCATGGCCACAGCATAGGTGGAGGGTCTGGGTGGGTATAGGAAGGAGAGAGTGGGGTGGAATAGCCAATACCCGGAAGCTAGGCCTGGGTGAAAGAGACATCTCATTGAGCATGCAGGGAGAGGGTATAATTCTGAAAGTCAGATGGCTTTAAGACCAGTTTGGCCTTCAGTAGCCATACCTAGAAAGACTAGTCACAAGATCCTGGGGCTCAGGGCAAAAGCCAGCATGAAGAACCCAACAGGAGCATGGTAAGTTTGACACAACTGGATCTGGCGTCACCAGCTTCTGAGGAGGATGGAGCAAAAGGCTGACAAGGTGAAGAAGGCAAGGCCAAGCTAGAGTGAGCTCAGTGAGTGTGGGCAACTGAGGAGACTGTGTCTCAAAGAGTAAGGAGAAGGCTGGGGGTGGGGCTCACTGACAGCAGAGGCCTAGAGTGTGGAAGGCTCTGAATTCAAATCCCAGTACTAGAAGAAGGGAGGGAGTGGGAGTCGTGACACTTGAGGAGGCCATCAGGAGGACGATGACTGGCGCAGAGGAGGGTTCAAGCTCAGGCCTTTGCTGCCATGGATCAGACAGGTGAGGCAGAAGAGAGTGGAGGTGATGAAAGAGGCAGTGTGGGTGGAATCTGGGCAGGTGTGCAGGACAGGTCTGAGGTAGGAGGAAAACTGTCAGGCACCGCCTAGAGTAACAAGGTCCAGGATGACCAATGATTCTGAACTGATGGGGACCCTGACGGGAGCTGTCAGGAGCAAGGTCACAGGTGGCTGCACACTGGGTGTACATGAGAGAGCAGCAACCAGAAAGCTAGTAGTTTGAGAATATCTGACCAAAAAAAAAAGAGAGAAGTATTCCCAGCAGGAGTTGCAGGCCCCTGCAGAAGAGCTGGGACAGGTGGGACTACTCCATCTCTGAGGCACTGTAGGCGCAGTAAGAGCAGGACCTGATCTCACTAAGGTCAGGGAGGCTGGGGGGGGGGGCAGTGGGAGAGAGCGTGGGGCGCAAGGACAAGGTGTCATATTGGGCATCACGGTCATGATGAGTATAGCTTCTGCTTCCTTCCCCTGCTTCCTTCCCCTGGGAAGAAGGCAGGGGCTGGAGGCCCGTGGTGGCACCCCAGAGGGACAAAGCAGACCATGGGCTCTGAGTCAGAATGGGCACCTGCAGCTGTGGCTGGGCCTTTCCTGGGTTCTGACCTTCCCTTTCCCACACCCTCATGCTGTGAGTACATTACACCCTTTCCATGGCACAAGGGTAGCCATGGGCTGGCTCAGCAGCTTGCTTGGCCACCAGGTCCTGCTCCTCCAGGGAGGAGAGAGGATACATCTCAGCCATCTAGACAGTCTCTCTCAAAGACCCCTCCCAGGCCAGCTTACTCTAAGCATGTCTCCCACGCCCTCATTTAGAGAAGCTACAATGGTAAGATCTAGGCAGGGAGGTCCAGGCCGGTGGGCAGCCTGATGCTTGTGGGTGTGTGCAAACTGGATTTCGCCATCCCATCCTCTTTTCTAAGGACATTTTACTTGGGGACAGATTAAAAACAGAAGCATGCCAGTGGGACACAGAAGCTTCTATGCCTGGCCTGATTCCCTTTACCCAGAGATGCCCTGAATCCCGCAGGTAGCCCTGGAGAGGATCCTGGATGCTGAGCTCCCCAAAACTCTTCCCAGAGATGTTCCAAGCACTCTGGCCACAAGTATAGATGTGAACTTACCGGAGACGGTGACCACGATATACTGCTGAGCCACAGGGGATGGGGCAGGTGTGGCAGGCCGCGAGGGTGCAGGGGCAGCCGGGAGATCTGCCACATACTGCTTCTGGCTGCCCGGAGGTTGCGTCTGGGGCTGGGGGCTTTGCAGCTCGGTGACATACTGGGGCTGGGGGGTTGCTGCAGCAGGAGGCTGGGGTGCTGCTGGGGGTGGGGCCTGGGGCGGGGCCTGGGGCGGGGCCTGTGGTGGCTGAGATGCTTGTGGGGCTGCCTGTAGCTCAGTAACATAGGACTGTGTTGCCATGCCAACAGTGAATGATAATAAATAAGGCGGTTTTCCTCTTCCTTGAGTAGAAAAGCGGGGGAGAGAGAAACAGAAAAACAAAGAAGAAGAAAAAAAGAATTAATCTACCAGCAGAAGAAAACAGCCAGCCCCCAGCTCCCTAGAGATGTCTTTGAGCTCATCACTAACTTGATTAAATCCCTGGCTACATACAGTGGACCCATCCCTGTGGGGTTTCTGGGAATAGACAGACAGGATTCCTCACCCTCATCCTGAGCCTGTTGCTCTTGCCCTCCTCCCCCTGGCACCTGAACATGCCACGGTGCCTCAGGCTATGCCAGTGGCCTCTAGAGCACCTTTGTCATCCCGCTCACCAGCGAGCCCAGGGAACACCTCCTCGCTTTGAGACAGAGTCTCACTATATAGTCCTGGCTGGCATGGAACCGCTGTGTAGACCAGGCTAGTCTGGAACTCACAGAGATCCACCTGCCCTTGCCTCCTGAGTGCTGGGATCTCTTTTCTTTTGGTGCTCTGAGGGTGGGACTCAGGGCCTTGCACACACTAAGCAAGTAGCCTACTAATAAGATGCATCCTTAGTGCTTGGCCTTTTGCAACAGGATTTCCCTAAGTAGTGCAAGCTAACTGAAACTGTGATCCTTCTGCTCGAGCCTCTGGAATGGCATATGCCACTGGACTTCCTAAAAGTGGGCATCTCCTAGGCCTCTTGCTGCAGAACATTCCTCCGCCATATCCAGCCAAGCTGACAACCAAGACCAACCATCACACACTACTCTATTTTAGATTTTACAACTACCATAGTGGATCTAGACTGAGTTTTCCAGATGAGGAGCTGAGGCTCAGAGAAGGTAAGGTGCTAGTCCCAGGCCACACAGCAGGGAAGCGACAAGCCTGTCTAACCCTGGGCATCCTGAGCCCTTCACAATTCGAAGGTGAAAAGGCAAGTCACAGAAAAAGGTATCTCTCAGAGAGCCCAATGCCAAGGGTCATCTGAGAGCCCTCACAGCAGGGTGCCCTTCACAGGCCCTGAGGCAGCAATGGGTCTACATAGGGTGTGGGGTCCTCCTGAGGCTAGGAGTGGCTGCTCTTACCGGTGGTGCAGAGCCTGTCCGGCTGGCGCAGCCTATCTTAGCACGAGATGGCAATGGCTTTGAAGTGTGCCCATTCCCAGCACCTCAAGCTGTGTCTTTGTCCTGTCTTGTCCCCTAGAGGTGACTGGCTGTCACCCTAGGCCATTCTGCTCCCAAGCTAAGAGCCTGCCAACTGGAACCACTGCCACACCATGTCGGCAGGATGACCTCTAGTACAGGGGAAGGCTGGGAGCCGAACAACAGCTAATGCTCGGCAGACACTGTAGTGCTCACCTGGCATCCCAGCCTTGGCACCAGGAATTTAGCTCTTCACCCTGGTGTCACTAACTTTACTCAGCCCCAAGACTCGTGGCTAACCCCGGTTCTCACAGCTCTAGTGAGGCCTAGCCCTTAATTGCTTCTCACAATAGACAGCACTTCCACTGTCCTTCCCACCAGAGCCAGGGAGTGGGCATAAGCACCCAAGAGGGACTTGCTGACAGCGAGGCCTCACCACGCCCCTTGCCTCCCGGTGCCTGCCTCTCCCACCTGGCACCTAGGTGTCCCCCTCGGATGGCAGACTCGGAGGCAGCTGAGAAGTTGCCTGCACAGGGCCAATGCACAGCTTGAACTTGACCCCTGCGGAGTGGCTCTGGGGGAGCTCCTCCACGGTTTCCCTGGAGGATGGCTGATGGTAGCCTCCCATGCTGATCTGTGGAACTGGTGGCCAGCGTGTACCAGGCCTTGGGAGACACCCTTAACAGCAGCCCCACCCCCCACCCCCCAAAAAAGGAAGGGAGAGAAAGAGGAAGGAAAGGCTGGGCAAAGCACTGAGGAATATCTCTAACACAGTCCCTAGAAACAAAAGTGCTCCCATGGAACAGGCTCCCACCTGTGTGTGTGTGTGTGTGCTTATGCAGGTGTGCATGTGTGTGTGCATGTGTGTGTGAGAGAGAGAAGAGAGAGAGAGAGAGAGAGAGAGAGAGAGAGAAGAGGAAGAAGAGGAAGAAGAAGAGAAGGAGGAGGTGGAGAAGGAGGACAAGGAGGAGGAGATGCCAGTGTAGACCTGAACCACACAGGGCTGGGCCAGCTTGGAGAGCCCAGAGGATAAGCACTGATTCAGACTACAAGCCCCAAGGTGAACACAAAGCAGCCAGCCTCAACGGCCACCCCACTCAACCCTGCCAAGGACTTGGGCATCAAGGGAAGTTTGCCTATCAGAGAAGGAGGAAGCCATAGTCCACCTCACAGAGGGCAGCACACCTTCCACTGACACTAGCTTCTGGCAATATAAAGGGGTTACATCTGAGCTAATGTGGCACAGGGTTAGTAGCTATCACCATGTGCCCCATGTGAACCTTTTTATAAACATTATATATTGACTGACTTCTGAGCCTCAGTTTACCCATCTGTGACCTGGGTTCACAGGGCCACTGTAAAAATCCACTGTGATCACCTTAGCAGCCAGCGAGTACCATGGATATTATTGAGAGGTGTTATTACCATCCATTCACAACTATGCATGCACTCCATAGGTAGCCCCTGGGGAGATGTCTAACATAGAGCCCCTGGGTTCTACTGCTCAGAGTTTGCAGTGTCCCCAAATATATTTTTAGCTAGTCCTTCATAATACGACCCAGAAGTCCAAGAAAACCTACCGTAGCCCAGGCTGCCTCAGAGCCAAATGCTTGCTCTCTGGCAGGAATGGGCTCCCAAAGCCCATATTTATGGCTACCTTCTCCTCCTCCTACATGGACAAGGCTAAGCTGAGGCTCGCTCTCTGTGGGGGAATGAATCATACATGGAGATGGGGCAGGAATGCTTCCCATGCACGTGAGCATAAAAGACCCTTGGTTCACAGAAGGCAGCACAAGGAAAATGGAACCTGCCTGTGTGCTCTGTCAAGGATCTGCTGACCCAACCACTAACATGCCAAGGTCTTCAAAGCCAACTGCTAGTTTCCGGAGAACGTTTGAACCTATTCCCAGAGATGAGAGAAACGCTGTTTGCTTCTGTGGACAGACTGCATCTGCGGGCTCCCAGCTGACTCTGGCAATGCAGTGAGGTAGAGCAACAGTTGAGCAGGTGTGTACACTCGGGACAAGAAAGCCAACTCCACACAGATTGGAGCACTGTGACTTTTCATATGATATGACATTTATAAAATATTCACGTTATAAAATGTTCTTTTGATCTTTCCCAATCATTCCAAACTGTAAAAGTCATTCTTAGCTTCCTTCCACACACAGACAGCATGGCTGGAGGTGCCAAAGCGGTACAGACCAGCCTGGCCTATGCCAGGTGAGGTTGTATCCTATCACAAGACACAGGCTGCGGCTGGCAGACATGCCACAGACATCAGATTCTAGAACCAAGTGTTACAGAGGGAGAGAAACCATATTCAGTGCATCTGTAGGACAGCTTTGGTCATGGGTCTGGAGTCCTGGACTAGTGCGCCCTGCCCTTGGCCTCCCCTGACTGTTCCTCAGTCACTCTCTCGCCTGTGGGGCTGGTCACTTCTCCAGCCTCACGTGGCCCCACAGCACCTGTTCTCGGGGATGTGTCCAGAGGCTGCAGGATCCTCTGAGCACCTGGACTGTCTCACGTCTCACCAGAGGGCATACAGCACTCGCAATCCTTCTCAGGACTGTGGGGCTTCAGACCTGTCCCCCCAGGCCCCATGTCTCTTGCTCTGGATGTTTTAGGCACTCTGGCTCTCAGTCTAAGACTCCCATGCCGTCCTGCCTCAGGACCTTTGCACCTTCTTTGTCTCCCTGACTAGCACTTGCTTCTAACCCTGTGCCCAGCCTAGCTCCTTAACATTCAGGCCACTTCCCCTGGTCACCAAGTGCCCCTCCCCCAAGTGCTCTGAAGCACACACTCTCTTTAATGCTTTTGCCCCTGTGTAGCCATTCGGTTATTCCTTAACAGTCTCTCTTCCCTGCTGAACTGGAAAGGCAAACACCATAAAGGTTCCTTTATCCCTGGCTCCTAGAAGATGATGGCATAGACTGCAAGTTCAACCTCCCCTCTTTGTTCATTTTTGGCAGTGCTAGGGACGGAACGCTGGTTCTTACACACACGAGACAGATGTTCTCCACTGAACCCCAAGTCCCCGGGGCACTCAGCTCTCTGTGCACTGGACATAGGTATGCAGCTGAATGAAGACAGTACTAGCAAGTGTGGAAGGAAGCCCACTGGGAATCCTCTGACCATTGAGACTCTGGAGGAGGCCACAGCCTCTGCAGACAGTAGCAGGTACAGGCTCACCCTGGGGGACTGTCATCCCTCTTGGTGCACAACAGGACCCACACATAAGAGACCCTCTCTAGTTCAGGGCTGTCAAGGAAGAAGGTGAGTCCTTGTTCAAGAAATCCGCTTCTCACCTTCTCCACAGCTCTGCCTCAGTCCTAGAGAACTAGCGGTGAGTCAGAGTCTCTTCCCAGATAGCTCTTGCCTTTCTGGCTACTCCCTGAAACAAAGGTCGCTCAGGGGCAAGCAGAGTGGGCAACACTTCTCCACAGAAAATACAACTCTATGTCTGGCTCGGTGGCACAGACCTGTCATCTTAGGAAGCCGAGGAAGCTTACAAGTTCACAGCCTCCCAGGACAACTTAGCAGGGCCATGTCTCAAAAAGTAAAAACGGACCATTAAGGTAACTTGGCACGTAAAAAGTACCTGCTACAAAGTAAACAAGTTCAGACCCATGGGCCTAGTGCTGGAAGGACAGAACTAAGTCCCACTAGTTGTCCCCTGTTCCCAATGCATGCTGTGGTTCCCATGTGTGCGCATATAGACACACACGTGAAATAAAGAAAATGTAGATGCTTTACACTGAAAAAGTACAAATGAGGGCTAGGTGAATCATTCGGTGCAGAGCCTGTGCCGAGTCTGGGGATGTCTTAGGTTCAATTCCCAGAAGAGAAAAAGGGAGACAAAGATGCTGTACTCCCTACTCCCCGCTTCTATTGTCAACCCACAGCACGGGCTTCTCTCTCCGACAAAATGATAAAAATAAAACACCAGCAGCTAATTCCGAGGACTGGACAGGAAGTGACAGTCATCTTAACGGCAGCTGGCATCATTTGAACACTTTATTTGATGTTTCATACGTGATATATTTTGGGGGGATACACACACAGTAACATGAGCTAAAATAAGTGTGTCTCTGGATGAGTGCACATGCAGCCCCCACCCCCACCCAAGTGAGTCAACTCACTAAGATCACACAGGTAGAGAAGAACTGTTTTAGGTAAAAAGCTGAGGCAGTGCCAACCTTCTCCAGCCAAATGACCCTTCTGGGCCCTCTGACAATTACTGGAAAGAACGAGGCCGCAGCAGTCAGAGAATCAGTGCCATCACTTTCTGCTCTGAGTCAGCCTTCCCTGATAGGAGTTGAAGACTTTTTTTTTTAAGGCAACCTAGCTAACTCCGGCCAGCACCTTCCTCAAAGTTAACCCCCACAGCCTTGAAGACCCTTTGACAGGAGGAGGAAACCTCCCTACAAGTACGAGTCCTTGCTTCCCTGCTTAATTTCCACTGGAAAAGTCGATCCTCTTAAGAGGACGGCAGTGTATGCCAGTGCCAAGAGCAGATGCCATGACCTGTCTACCCACGGAGCCAATAAGAACCGCCATGGCTGACTGAGTTCTGCAACACTCACCACACACACACACACACACACACACAAGCAGTTGCAAAGGTCCTGCACTAACAAATTTCTCTCCTTGCCTCCAATGCTACACCCACTCCTACCGTGTGGGACTGGTACCACCTTATGACATGTGACCCTCTTGATACTGGCCTAACTGACATGTGGCAGGCCAAGAGATGTGGCTTAAGGAATCTAACTAAGACAGCTCTACTGGCTCCACTGGTGGAGACCTTAATGGCGACGGAGAAACGTCCAATCTCCAGGAACAAGTGCCCTGACACCAGCATCACCTTAGGGTTGAGACAACACCCCAGAAACCAGTTTCAGATTCTCTACATTTGTGGCCTAAGATCACGTCTCTCCAGGAGAAGATTCAACTTCTGACAACTAAATCCCCCAAACTAAAGCCAGTCTGATTGAAACTTGGCCATCTTCACATCCTCCGGGGTTTAAAAGTAGGGGTCACTTTACAATTAACACTAACAAGTTATCAAATCTCATTGAGAAAGAGTAGATGGGTGTGGTGTAAGACCCAAGGATGAGCCCTAGGGAAATTCTTGGAAGGAATTAAGAGTTAACTGTACTGAAGGAGATGGTGACAATTCTTCCCATTTTATAGAAAGAAAAACAAAGGTCCGAAATGGAATAGTCACACGTCCAAATTCTAAATCTCAGGCAGGTATGCACCCCAAGCTGCTGCTCCTCATCCGGAACACCAGGACAGTCCCAGTGTCGGCGGCCGCACCCGACACCGAGGGCGGAGGGACACTAGGCCCCGCCCACCTTCCATCACGCCCCGCCTCCGCGCGCTGTCATTGGTCCAGCCTCGGCAGACCCGCCTCCCCGCACCTCCCGACATATAAAAGCGCCCCCCCCCCGCCCCAGCCTCCCGACCTCCACTCGCCCGCGGCCTGCGAGCACCCGCCCCTCGCGGGGGCCGGGCTGCGGGTCCGGGGGCGGGTGGTGTCGCCCCGGCCGAACCCCGGCCCCCTCCCCCACAGTCCCGACAGTCGCCGCCGCCATTTTGACCGCCCGCCCCCTTCCCTGAGGACTGTAGTCAAGCGACAGGCGCTGCGCGGGCCCGGCCGTCCGCCCCGGCGCGCCCAGCTTGCCGGGCGCTGCCCCGGTTACCTCGGCTTCTCCGCACTTGTGTCCGCGGAAGGCTTCGAGGAGGTGCGTGGGCGCTGTGCAGAGGGGACCGAGCGCGCCGGGGTCCCCAGGCCGGGCCGGGGGCGTGGGGGCGGGGGGCGGCCGCAGTTGTTGTTGTTGACTGGCGTTGCTGGGTTGCTTGGTCGCCACGACTACCGTGGCTATGGCGCCTCCGTTTCCCTCACCGGGGCAACTGTTGCTACCCACCCTACTACGTCACGCGCCAGGGCGGACCTCCGGGGCAGCGATTGGACGGTGCCAGACACTTCCAGCATGCTATTGGCTACCGTCCACGCTTTTCAGCACCCTCTCGACTTCTCCGAGCTCCGATTCCTCAGTTCGGACGTCCGTCAGAGGAAGCTAAACCCTAGAAGGCAAACGAAGCCCGTCACTCGCGCGAGGAAGCAGCCCTGAGAATTACAAGGGGGTGGGATGCCGCTCTAAAATCGGCTCTCTGGTTGGACTAACGAGAGATCAATCTCGTCCAAAAGTTTGTCGCGCTCTCTTGCACAGGTCCACGGGGCGTCGGGAGTTGTAGTTCGGTCTTACGTACCGTTGAAAACCTCAAGACTTCCTCCTTGCTGGGCCACTCTCTGGCCTCTGGCGCCCATATCCTCCGAGGAACGCTGCGACTCTGTGCTGCCCTTCTGTGACGTCAGCGGCGGAGGCAGGACTCGGAGTTCGATGACTTCACACGCGCGTTCTCTCGGTCCGAGAGGATGGGGAGGAATCGGCTGGTATGATGCTAGTCGGATCCCCGGAAAGGTCACAGCCTGGCCGCGCCGCTATCTCGGCCACTCAGGCAGTGGAAAGGTCTCTGGCAGGCGGACATTTAATGAGAGGACGATAAGCAAAGGTCAGCGACATTCTATCCCCAGAGCTCGCCGCCGCTCCGGGACTCAGTTTCCCCAAGAGATAGGTCAGCTGCAGCCGGAGAAGGTGAAACAGAAATAACCCCGGCGGGAGTGAATGCTTCCAGCTCAGAAACTAATCATCAAGATAATATTCTAAAGGAGTATTTTTAAATATCAATTAATGGGAAAAAGTAGACCCACGGTGAACCAAATGTCAAACGTTAAATGCAATAATTTTGCTGGCATCTAGGTTAGGGGAAAGTGAGTCTTGCAAGCTCAGGGTTGGCTCTTGTGTTCAAATATTTTTGTTTATTGAGTCAGGATTCTTTTCTAAATGAGATTCTAACTGCTTTTTCCACAGGGGAATATGAATAACTGTGAGAAGATGATTAATATGTTAACTAGTTCCTTTATAATACTCACTTTTGCTATACCAATTGTTTAATAGCCTATTGTCTGCTTCAGAAATGTACAAACATGTCCAAGTTGGGTAGAGCGGCTATGTAGACACAACTACTTTGCAGGATGAGGCAGATGGATTGCTTAGAGCTGGACTCAATAGCAAGTCCCACTCAGAACAATGGCTTTTTGTTTTTGTTCTTTTGCTTTTTGGAGACAGAGTTTTAGAGTCAGGGCTGGCTCCAAACCACCTCTGAAGTTGAGGATGACCACCTCCTAGTGCTGAGATTACTGGGGTGTAGCACCACACCTTAAGTTTTGCCACCCCATGCATGATGGAGAAAGGCTCAAAGCTTGGAGCCTTCATTCCAGCCCTGCTGTGTTATATGGACAAAGTGGCTCCACCCCTCTGAGCCTGTTTCCCATGCTTGTATGCAAAGTCCTGAGTTCTAAGTGTAGAAACAGCCAAGTGTCTTCCTTTGTCTTGTCTATCAGAGCCGCAGTGAGCAGAGTCATGCGTGAGACAGTCGCTCTAGCAGTGGAGGAGGGGAGAGAAGGGAGAGAGGGGCTTCCATGACCGTTCTCTGAGGAGAACCCCTCAAAATGGGACATGTACCAAAACCTAGTTGAAGGAAGGCCTGGGCCACTCTGCAGTCCGAGTCAGGAAGACTTGAGGCCAGCCTATGCAACTTCAACTTCGTGAGACCTGTTGTTAGCATAGAAGACGAGGGGGCTGAGGAGATAATCTCACAGTTAAAAGCACCGGCTTCTCTTCCAGAATCCACAAGGCAATTTGGGCTCACAACCACCTGTAACTCCAATTTCAGGGAATCTGACACCCTCTTCTGGCCTCTGAGGGCACCAGACACAGACATGCTGCACAGACATACATGCAGGCAAAATACACATAAAAAATAGAAATTGTTCTTAACATGTTTATAAAGTTAAAAAAAAAAGAAGTGGGAACATATGTAGCTCAGTAGTGGGCACCTGCCTGAAGTCTACCATGCAGAGTCTAGTAGAACAGTCTCAGAATACCCCACTGAGGGGTGTAACTGAGACCATGAGTTCCATCTCCATAGACAGGGAATTGCAGACAAGAGGATGCCCACGTCCAGCAGATGCACCTGGTTCCCAGGCAGTTCTGCAGAGATGCAACATCCCAGGCAAGTAAAGCATTTTCCCTGGTGACAGATGAACACACAGTGGCTCCAGGGAATAGGGTTGCCCCACCTGCACCTGGGGATGCAGCATCCAGCTTCGAGTGTCCCTGGTCAGGCTTCCACATGTCCCAAGTGTGAGCTTCAGTAGAAGGAAACATTTTGAGGGGTTCTCCTCAGAGAATAACGGTCATGAAAGCCCCTCTCTCCCTTCTTTCCCCTCCTCCACTGCTGGAGCAACTACCAGCCTGTCTCACACATGACTCTGTTCATTGCAGTTCTGATATTATAGACAAGACAAAGGTAGCTACTCCAGCCTACCTAGAAGCAGCAGCTGTTCCCAGTCCTGAGATTCCCACAAGGACTGAAAGACATCTGAGCTGGAGGGCACAGAAGCACACTACAGCTGGTGAGGAGTTTCACCTGTACCCCACTGCCACTTCTGTGAAGACTTGAGGTTTCCAGATTAGAGGAAGAGTCCTCCTTGTGTAAAGGGACCTAAAAGACTTGGTTATACTTCCCACCATTCCCCAGCTCCCAGAGGACCCTGAACCAAGGCCAGAAACAAAGTCTTCAACAGGAAAAGGAGCTTGGCAGTGATGGCGCATACCTTTAGTCTCAGCACTTGGGAGGCAGAGGCAGGGGGATTTCGGAGTTTGAGGACAGCCAGGGCTACACAGAGAAACCCTGTCTTGAAAACAAAGAGAGAGGGAGAGAGGGGGAGGGAGGGAGAGGGAGAGAAAGGAAGGAAGTTAGTTCACAGTGGCTTTCTGGTGACACACCTGGCCAGAACATGGGCCTGGTTCAAGCCTCGCCCACACAGCTGGTGCACCAGTTCACAGGAAGTGGAGGGGGTAGGGGCACAAATTAGAGAGTGGCAAGAAGCCACTTGCCTAGAGCTTGACTCAGTGGCAGAGTGCTTCCCTGGCATGCTCCAGGCCTGGGTTTATCTCCAACATGAAAAATGGGTGGGGGAGAAGTCTCAGTGGGTACACTGCTTGCCTGTGAATACTCAGGTCTGAATGGACGCCAGCCCTGGAAAGGTAAAGAAAGAAGGGCTCTTAAGGCTTGATGGCCAGCTCGCAGAGTCGGTGAGCTCCATGCCACCGAGAAGCATGCAAGGGACTGACAGCCAGTGTTGTCCTCTGGCCCCCTCCATTTGAACACACATACTCCTGCACCTGAAAGCTGTTGGGTAGAAGATGACAACCTTGCATCTTGGAAGAAAGTTTTTTAAAACATAGGATGTTAAAAGAGGTGAAACAATAGGGTTTCTAGCCTGTCATGGTGGTACACACCTTTAATCCCAGCACTCAAGAGGCAGAGGCAGGCAGATCAGAGTTCAATTCAAGGCCAGCCTGATCTACATGAGGAGTTCCAGGATAGAGCTAGGTATATAGTGAGACCCTATCTATATTAGGGTTATCCAGAGGAACAGAATTTGTATATATAATTTATAATATATAATAACATATATTATGAATGGGATTTCTTAGAATGCCTTACAGGGTGTGGTCAACTTGACCAACAATGTTTGTCTAATGAAAGGTATTGGTATATCTATCCAGTAGATGCCGAGTGGTGGTGGCGCACGCCTTTAATCCCAGCACTTGGGAGGGAGAGGCAGGTGAATTTCTGAGTTCAAGGCCAGCCTGGTCTACAGAGCGAGTTCTAGGACAGCCAGGGCTACACAGAGAAACCCTGTCTCGAAAAGCAAAACAAAAAAAGAAAGAAAGAAAGAAAGAAAGAAAGGAAGAAAGAAAGAAAGGAAGGAAGAAAGAAAAAGAAAACAAAAACTAAGCCACCTGAAAGAAGCAGAGAGAATCTGAGCTGCCTGGAAAGGATGTTCCCCAACCTGTTGCTCTTCCTACAGACTACAGTACCCTTCAGGTTTCCAGTTTTGTGATCTGTAATTTATGCTGGGGTGGGCGTTTCATGATGCAGCTTTCTCTCGAGTTATTTCTGCTTCTGTGAGTAACCTTACTCCTGTGAGTAACCCCAATAAAAGTAATTGATTTACAAAGCTAGACGTTGGTGGCATCCTTATTTTGGTCTGTCATCAGTTCCCTCTCTGGAGGGAGTTAAAATTTTTTATCTCCCAAAAAATGGTGTCACACAATACATGCATGCATGAACACACACATGGATACATGTAGAAGAAAAGAGGAAAAACAGCAACAAAAAAATCAGAATTTTGGGTGACACAGTAGACAAAATTTTAATCTTCACTCAAGAAAAGTGGAAAGTCCTCAAATGGCTAACAGCACTGTTGTTGTTTCATGGGAAGCCCTTTTTCAAGGTGGGGTGCTATCCTGACACACATATGTGGAGCCTCGCCAGCCTCCACCCCACCTCAGTTGTGACAACCGAAGATCCCCATAGACATCTTTGCCAAATACCTGAGACAGGAAGATTCTAACCAGTCTAAAGCCACTGCCTAAGGAGATGGAGCAACTGGAAGGCTGAGCTTGAGTGCCTTCGCCAAGACAGGCAAACTCCTCTCCTCCTTTTCTTTGACTTTGTAGCTACACTAAGGTGAGACTCTCAGTCCAATAGCCTCAGCCTCCCAAGTGCTGCAATCACATGCTTGCTAGGGATGGAACCAGGGCACCTCCACTCTGTGCTTCTGTCACGTAAGCTAGAACTTTCTTCTTGGGAGAATTAGGACAAGGACGGTCCTGCTCTGGTGTTTATACACACTGAAAGTTTTGTACCAGTTAAAGATGCTTTGACTTTTCTTTGTTTTTTGAGACAGGGTTTCTCTGTGTAGCCCTGGC